AAATGGTTTTTTAACAAACTCTATTAGAGAAAAGCCCTGGGCAACGTATGGCCGGAACTAAACAAGGCGCCGCGCAGTTAATTGTTAAAAAGTCATAATTGATTTGAAGTGCTCTACTCAAGTGTTGTTATAACTTGTATAGCGTTGATTAATATTATTTTTTAATGTTTTAGTAATTATTGTTGTTTCATAAGTATGCTATAATCTTAAAAATGCGTAAAAGAGTCTGTGGTCTTCGAGAAAACCAGTACTTGACAGTGGAGAAGTAAGAGGTTATGCAGTTTTGTAATTAATTGTAACGTCAATTACTGGTACATTTACCTAAGTTTAGTTGAAGAGACAAAAAATACTAATGTACGCAATGTATATTTTTGTGCTTTAAATGGACAATGAGTTAGTTTTGCATGCAATTTCACAGTTTATCTGAATTTAGCAGTGAATTATGAAGGCGTCGTAGATAAACTCATAAATTTATTCATGCGGTTAAAATAGTTACGCCTCGCCGTGGTCACGTAGAGACAGGTACCTACTACTGCAGTTAGTATGAATACAATGTGCATGTTACAATCTATACTTCTATACTAATATAATAAAGGCGTAAACACACACTTCTTCGTGGCGTAGGACGTCAGCAATCACAGCATATTTTTGAATAATTCTTTCTTTAATAAAAAGTGCTACACTTACGACCCGCTTTAGGCTATATATTTTCACGCTATTAAACTTTGTGGTAAATGAATTGAAAAAAACTTTAAGTGGTAAAGGGACTGTAAACATTAACACGAGCTGCCAACATTAAGGAAGTAAGGTTATTATGGTAACGGTAATTTTGACATTTGCAATTGAGAATTTGACAAACGTAAACAATAAAATAAAGTTTTTACAAATTCAAGCGGATGAAGACGCACGGGAACAGCTATTGTATTATACTTTTGAAGTGTCCAACGAAACAAAAATCTGTTGTACAAAATTGTATCAATCATAAGTTACTGACATATGACGGAATAACGGAAAATGGCCCAGAAAAATATGAAATTGTAATTTGTGGCTTCCGCAGGTCGGAGGACATTTGTCAAACCGAGCGTGAGTGTGCGAACGAAACATTTCAACTAGAACGGTGTTAGGTATGATAGGACATTTAACGATACTTTCAAGTTTAGTATGAATGAGTACCATTTTTACTATAGAAAACAATTTTATTTTAACGTATTTAATTAGTATAATTTCTATAAGTTGACGGGGCGAAATGATTCTTACTTTTTAAACGATTAAAGTTACTGGCAACTTATAATTTTGAGTACTGGCTGAATGTGCATAGCATGATAGATGTCAAGACGACGATAGAATGACAGATGACAGATGTCTTTGAATGGTGGAGTGAAGCGTTTTGTTATTATAAAATCAATTGGTTAATCTTTGTAAATGTTTGCAATTCGATTAAAGCGTGTTGTGAAGTTATCAATTAAGATGGTCAACTAAGTATAGTGTTTCTAGTGTTACGCGATTGTTATTTTATTATCTCCGACATACGCTCGCTTACAATAGAAGATCGGAATCTTGTTTATTATCTACCTTCGGAATTAAATTTTACAAACCGCTCGATCACTCCGACAAGTTCATAAAATTCAAATAAAAACAAGGAGGCCGAAAAAAAAAATGTAGTCAAAAGTTGTAAAATAATATAGATAGATGGCGTTGTAAGTAGAATCGTTATGGTAATACTAACTGTATCCTTTATGTCCACATATGAGGAGAGTATAATTTAATAGGAGCACGTTAACAGACATAAATCACTATATAATCTCACAACCGCGACATCGTCAGCCCGTGACTCGTTTTCTAATACTTGCACGTCGCAGCAGAAGATAAATTACGACAAAGAAGTGACGGAGATCAACTTTTCAACATTTTTCTTCATGATAAACATTACATCGAGCAAAAATTACATGAAGAATTTAATCCTTTCTCACATTTTGTTTGCAAGGAAGAAAACAAATTGGTAGACGGTTTTTCAAAATCCGCTGAACTCTTTATTTCATTCTCAATATTGTTTCGATGTACTTCTCTGTTTTAAACCGATTTAAAGCGGGCGCACATCGTTGACTAAACTATTGTATAACTGTAACATCGTATGTAACAAGACGGACGTTAGTTATGAATGTGGAGGGGTACATCGGTAGAAGTAGACCTAGAAAGAGATGGATGGATTGCGTGAAAGGTGACACGATCAAGAAGGAAGTGATGATTGAGATGACGGATGATAGAGTGCTTTAAAGGAAAAAAACCCGGTTCGCCGACCCTACGGGAGTAGGATAAGGCAGGAAAGATGATGATGATTGTACATCTGTAGTGTGTTTGTCGATTGTTTCGCAGTCAATACAACTGTTTAGTTACACAATTAAAAACGAGTAGTGTGCATCTCTATATAGACTTATAGGAATCAAAGCGAGACTAAAAAGTTGTGCGATAGTTTCAGATGCCCTTAGTATGTTTTAATGGAATATCGTTAGTTTAAGTGATCGTTAACTTCCCGAAGGTAATAAAGGCACATACAAAGAAATATTAAATGTTTCAAAATAGATCTTAAAGTTTAATTTTAAATTTTTTGGATAATAAACTTTTTAAATTTTCGGTGCGTCTGTCGCGCTGCATAGGACCATTAAATAGCATTGTATTCTACACAGTAGTGAAGTTTCGTGCGCAATGAAATACAACGGTGTAACGCCGCGTTGCAGCGAGCTCATGTATTTATTCATACGCTACGTGTAGTCATTCCGATGCACTGAAATCGTCGCGAGCGTAATTTCAAAGTATAAATATAATATTATAAAAATATATAAATTATAACACGGCTAAACTCACGTGATAACATTCGGTGTAGGCACCGAATGTTATCACGTGAGTTTAGCCTACACCGAATGTTATCACGTGAGTTTAGCCGTGTTATAATTTATACAGTATAATGTCTCACGAAAGTTTTAATAAGTTAATTATAAAAATACTTTTGAAATATCACTTTAGAATGTACAGTAAATAATTTATTTATTCGGTGAAATAATTTTAACTTTCTAATATAGATGAATTTTGAAAGTGAAATTGGTCTTATGTGGTAAGGTAATTAAATTCTTTGAGTAGATCAACATTTAAAAAAGTATTATTTCGTAAAGATTCAATACTTGTTGATTTACTTTTAGTTTAGTTCATCGTCACCAGCTCACTATACGTCCCCACCGAGGGGCTCGGAGCCTACCCTAATAAGGGGTGACTAGGCCATAGTCAACCACGCTGGCCAAGTGCGGGTTGGTTGACTTCACACATATCTTTGAATTTCTTCGCCGATATGTGCAGGCATCACGATGTTTTCCTTCACCGTGAGATCGTCGGGTAAATTATGTACATATGAAAATTCGAAAAATCGAAAATTACATTGGTACATGGCGGGATTCGAACCCACGACCTGTAGATTACAAGTCAAGTGTTCAAACCACTGAGCCACCGACGCTCCTAGCTTAGTTTAGTTAGCATAAAGAAAAATTCTTTACATTGTATGGCATATTGTAGCTTGGGTACCAGGGTTTCATAACAAAACAGTAGAATTGCCTTATCGTCCCTCGGCCCCGCGAGACTAACGACGCTTATTCATGGCTATCAAGTTTTGCGAGGATTATTGCACTCCTATCTACAGCCTGAAGGCTTACTATTTTCTTCTCGGTATTATTTGGATTTAGTGTTCGATTCTGATTTTGTTCAAGGAGAATTATTCTGTTTTGTCGCTCTCGCAGTGCATTTTCTTAATTTATTAACCTGGAGTTTTTATTAAAAAAAGGAGTTATCCAAAAACATGCTTTGATTGCTAACATAACAACACACATACATAACAAAGTGGATTATGTTTAAGTAGTGTAGAAAGATATACATTTATAAACGTTATTAAGATAGTTTAAAATATAAAATATTTCACATATTTAATAGGCGATTGCTTGAAAAAAAAGCCTGCATTCCAACTTCAACACGGTTTTTTATGACAGTTAAGTTTGTCACTAGTTTTTAACCTGTCCATTTATAGAGATCAGAGGTTTTGTGTACTACGTCTACAAACCATAGTATTATCATCAGAGTAAGATCAGCTCTGTTTCAATCTAGATGAAGCAGATTAGAGTACAAAGCTCTAACATAAATAAACGGACACAACGGCACGCTTTGCATTATTGTGCGTTAACAAAGACAATACATTCAAGATATATGGAAATCAAATTTAAATTTACTGTAGTAAGTTCTAATTATTTTATAAATAGTAAATTTCCTCTAGCAAAAAAGATTCCATTCTGAATAAGTTCATCAAATTTAAAGTACAACTAGTTTTCGCATGCGACTCCGTGTGGGATAAAAAAAACAAAAGTGAGTAGCCTATATGTTCTTCAGACTATACTCTATATCTATACCAAATTTCATCGAAATCCGTTCAGCAGTTTAGGCTACAAATTCTAGCATCCATCCATCTAAACTTTTGCATTTATAATATAAATATGATTGTAGACAGTCCTTCAATTGATTTCAGAGGTGACGAACAAGGTTACACTTGTTAAAATCAATTGATCAACTGACAAAAAATAGGGCGTAAGGTTTTAAGTTACGAGATTACGCGATTCATTTTGAATTAATTTCGTCGGTTAAAATTTGACAGCTAGAACACAACCTGGACCAGATTTTCGGTCGGTTTTTGGCATTTAGACAAAAATTGCAAATAAAATAAGTATATCTGTGTCGTAGGTCTATTATTAGATACGACAATTTTAATAAAGATCTGGTTTTTATTTACCTTTTTTCGTGTTGAGAAAAATTACTTTTTTTTAGTACTAAAAGAACTTAATTTAAAAACTAAGTCACGTTTCACGCCAATTTGTTTTATTAAAACTCAATCCGCTTCCGCTTATAATTTGTATCTATTTTAACTTGCGTTACAGTCTCAGTTGGGATATGAGCATTATAAAACTGACCGCTTTTAGAACAACACACGTACAATGATTGTAGAGATTTTAATATTTCTTTTCACGTCATTAATTGTATATTGTATTTATGTTCATAAAAGTATACATTATTTGTACAAAAAGCGAGGTTTAAAGTATATTCCTGGAGTACCATTATTCGGCAACGCGTTTAATAGTACTATTAGAAAGAAACACTTTGTTGAAGACATCGATGCGATTTATAAACAATTCCCTGATGAGAAGTAAGTAATATTTCGCTAATACAAACATTCACTTTCATACTTGTACATATTTGTATTATAGAGAAGCAATTGCACTTATTAATTTTGTATGCAACATTACAACACAAGCCACGACCGATTTAAGTTTCTTGCACTAATTCGCATATAAACTTTGTATTTAGATAATCTCTAAAATTACACTTTAGGTATCGTAAATGTATTCTGTCGCATTAATTTACGGAATGAAAAGCCCATTTAGTTCATTCAGTGTGAATGACAGCTCGAAATTATTAAACGGTTCAATCTATGCGAAATATATCACAATTTGCAAATTTCGGGAATGAATAGATCATATAAAGTTTTGTTTACATTTACTTTCTCTTCTTTCAAAGTCACTATTTACATTTACATACTTTATTTTGGAAGTTTTAACATCATTGATATTAATTAAAAAATATCGGTTTTTAACGAGACAAGTTATGTTATGTTTTTAACGTAATATAATGCAGACACCAGCTAAATTAGGATGAAGGTCAGTTCATTCGACGAGACCATTTTTTCTTATACGATAATTTGAATTTAAATTGTGTTGTTTTGTTATACTGCGATTACCGATGATTACTCTATGATTAGGCTATTTATTTGTCCTTGTTTATCTCAGCGTATCTCTTTTCCTCTAAGACAATAATTTAGTAATAATTTTTTAAATTTACCAATGTTTCCTTTAAAGGTATATCGGTTACACTCAAGGGACAACGCCAATTATCCTTATCAGAGATCCAGAGATAATAAAAAGTATTACAGTGAAAGATTTCGACCATTTTGTTGACCACAGACAATTCCTCAGTGAAGATGTAGAGCCTTTGATTGGTGCTAGTCTTTTCTTTATGAAAGGTATTTTATCTGTATAAGGTATAAAGAAACTAACGGCTATTACGTATTTATTGGTTTAGTGTGTTACAGCGCCCTCTTTCGTAAGACACTGAAGTGGAAGGTAAGGTTAGGATTTTTTTAAGCTAAATGAAAGATTCAAAATTACGTCATATTTCAGCAGATTACGATAGCTTGATGAACATTTAAAAATAAACCGAGATATAAAAATTATTAACTAGTCTCGATTGTTTATCTTTTTTTAAAATAGGTAACAAATGGAGGGACATGCGAACAACGCTAAGTCCTGCATTTACAGGATCCAAGATGAGACTCATGATGCCATTTATGACAGAAATAAGTGACACCATCGTGGAATACTTGAAAGGTAAGCAAATTTTAGTCATTATCTTCAGAAATATCATTCGTATGTCTCTGTACTAACTTCCCTTAGGATACTGCGTTTTGAAAGGATAATGCATACCTCACTGCTTCTAAAAGACTACCTACATCTGCAATCCCCTGGCGTTGCGGGTGTTCATGGGCGTCTGATCATATAATAAGCGATCTGCTGCTCGTTTACCCACTTTTCTATATAAAAAAAACATTAAATTTATTATGTTACATAACCTAACCTAAAAACAAATTGACAATATATTAATGTCTTACAAAACTAAAAGCTTTATTATATTCAACCAATTGTAGATCACGCACTAGAGGACATAGATGTATGCGATTTGATGCGCCGCTACTCCAATGACGTGATCGCCTCCTGCGGCTTCGGATGTCAAGTTAATTCCGTCAACGACAAAGAAAACGAATTCTACAAAACAGGACAATCTCTGTTCGAAATGACAACTTTGCAGAGAACGAAATTAATTATATCTATGTATTTTCCAAGTATAGCAAAGGTATTGATAACTATAACTATTGCTTTAAACTTCCTTTAAGTACTTTGTATTTCATCTCCGAAATTGAAAACGAGATAAGCAGGAATAATAAGTATGTTAATTTTTACTTGTCATCGGATTCCGCAGCCGGAGTTGCTCAATTTTTTATATAATACGTTTTATTTTATTTTTTAATACAAATCATGTAAAATAAATCATACTTCATACTTCACACTAATATTATAAATGCGAAAGTTTAGATGGATGGATGTTTGTAGAGTTTTTAGCCTAAACGCCTGAACGGATTTCAATAAAATTTGGTGTAGATGTAGACGGTAGTTTGGAAGAACACATAGGCTACTTACTTTTGTTTTTCTTAATCTCACGCGGACGGAGTCGCGGGCGAAAGCTAGTTATATATAAAATAAGAAATAAAGATATATGAAGATTAAATGTTAATTTTTAGAATCTGGGCCTTAAAATTTTTGAAGAAAAAGATGTTAGTTTCTTTCAAAATCTAGTAAAAGACACTATGGAATATAGAGAAAAGAATAACATTGAAAGACCAGATATGATACAACTGTTAATGCAAGCAACTAAAGGTAAAGAGTCAAATTTATTACTCGAAATGCATCAGAAACGAATGGAAAATAAATTCATAATTTGCAGGTAATTTGAAGACTGATGAATCAGAGATAGACATCGACAAAATTAAACGTGGTCAAATCAGAGGTAAGAATTTTAATTAAATATAGGAAGGAAGGAAATATAATTTTGTCTATTAATACAGTCTGATGATGATAAAATTTCAGAATGGAGTCAACAAGATTTAGTGGGACAGGTTTTTATCTTCTTTTTTGCCGGTTTCGAAACATCTGCTGCGACCCTAAGTCTGACAGTCCATGAATTGGCTGTTAATCCTTTAGTGCAAGAAAAGTTATATGAAGAAATTAAAACATTTCACGAAACTAAAGGCAAAATGTTGTATGAAAACGTAAATGAATTAAAATATTTAGACTGCGTTATTAATGGTACTCTTCTTGCTTTTTTATAATTTTTTTATAGTGTAACATCACTAATTAATAAAACATTGTTTCCAGAAACGTTACGTAAATGGTCACCAGCTTTAATAATGGACAGAGTGTGCACTAAGCCATATGAGTTACCTCCTCCTCGTGAAGGAGGTAAACCGACTAAAGTAGGTATTATCATGTAGTGATAACGTCTCCCTTTTCTAAACTATCTATCTTTAGTAACATTATTCAGTTTAGAAAAATGTTTTGCTAAAAATATCTCTGAAATTTGTAAATATTTCCAGCTAAACCCTGGTGATTACGTTTACAATATGGTAAACTCAATTCATCTTGATCCGAGACATTATCCGGAACCAGAGGTTTTCAATCCAGAAAGATTTTCTGAGGAAAATAAAAACGAAATCAAACCTTTTACGTTTATGCCATTTGGTATTGGTCCGCGTACTTGTATTGGTAAGTTTATTTCATTGTTAATCATACTAATATTATAAATGCGAAAGTTTAGATGGATGGATGCTCGTTAGAGTTTGTAGCCTAAACGGCTGAACGGATTTCGATGAAATTTGGCATAGACATAGAAAATAGTCTGGAAGAACACGTAGGCTACTTGCATTTGTTTTTTTTTAATATTCCGCGCGGGCAGAGTTTTGGTGACTGCCAATAATTTTACTATATTACTAATTTCTCTTACTGAATCTTTGTTTGTAGTTTGAATCAAAAATTTTAGTAAGTATTTGTCTTAACAGTTATATTATGTTCCAGGAACTAGATTCGCAATGTTAGAAATCAAGGTGTTAATTTATAACATAATCTTAAACTTTAAAATCTTAAAATGTGACAAGACAACAGAACCAATTCTTTTGAAACCACATGAGTTTAATATTGCTGCTCTTGGAGGGACATGGGTAAAACTGGAAACCAGAACAAAATAAAAAGAAGAAACGTAGATTTTAGAACTCCATTACTTTAGCAATGATAACATGTACAAAGAAATTATATAAAAAATATACTCGTAGGTCACAAAACTCTGCAATGTTTTATTTATTTCTTTTTTTCTTAATAATTAGACACTGACGAGAAAATATAGTGATGAAAGTTATAGTTTAGTTGTTGTTACAAAATCACAAAATGTTGTAACATGACCTAGGTTAAGTTAGTTTTTTTAAATATAAGGTGGCAAACGAGCAAGCGGCCACCTGAATCCACCGAAATGGACAGCGACCGCTGCCCATAAACATCCGCAATTGCAGATGCGTTGCCTACCCTAAATTGACGGAGACGGAGACCCACAAAAAGATATTTCCTTTTCCTATGCGTCTCCCCCACCGTCAAATTTACTTTTCCTTTTTTAATCTTTTCTTCTTAAGAAGAGAGTGTTTGTAAGGGAAAGGGACTAAAATTAGGCCTCGGGCACTACTCTCATTAGACGAAACGCGGAATTGCTTCCATTTCACGCCTGTTCTCTGTGTGGTCGTGGTATCACACCGGGCGAGCCGGCCCATTCGTGCGAAGATGTTAAAGCGGACTCTACCATTGTTACTGATTGTAATGATATAAATCGACGATCAATAATGTTGGTCGTGTTCATAGCGGAGCTAACAGATTCATGTTATAACATCATCATCATTATCATCTTCTTATCCTACTCCCGTAGTGTCGACGCAACAGGTTTTTGTCTTATTTTTATTGTACAACAATCTCATATACAATATTTCAATCGATTTATTAATTCGATTTTTAATGTTGGCAATTAATCAATTGAGCAACTGACAAAAAAAGTATATGATACTATGGCGTAAAATTTTAAGTAAAAAAATGAAGCGATTTTGAATTATTTTCATGAATTATACGTCGACGATTTAATATGACCTTGGCCAAATTTATTGGTCTACGTTTGATATTTAGACGAAAGTGTATTTCAAACATAATTAGTTATTGTAATTTCGATAGAGACGTGATTTTTATTATTAAATGTCAAAAATTCTATTTAAAAAAAAATCCGCTTCCGCCTATAATTTACATCCTAATTTTTTTAAATATGAAATTACGTTACAACCTCACTATATTTTGGACATTACAAAACTGTCTGCTTTTAAAAACACACGTACAATGATTGTAGAGATTTTAACATGTTTTTTCACTTCATTAATTGTATATTGTATTTATGTTCACAAAAGTATACATTATTCGTATAAAAAGCGGGGAATAAAGTACATCCCTGGACTACCATTATTCGGCAATGCATTTAATAGTACTTTTAGAATTAAACACTTTTTTGAAGACATCAATGCAGTTTACAAACAATTTCCCGATGAGAAGTAAGTATTTTGTTTATAATTTACTGATTTACTGATTCATAGTTTTTTAACTTTAGTAAAGGTTTTAATTATTTTTTAATAAAATTAATCGATGTTTAATTTAAAGGTATATCGGCTACACTCAAGGGACAACGCCAATAATCCTCATCAGAGATCCAGAAATAATAAAAAGCATTACAGTAAGAGATTTCGACCATTTTGTTGATCATAGACAATTCCTCAGTGAAGATGTAGAGCCTATCATCGGCGCTAGTGTCTTTTTTATGAAAGGTATGTTGAATTGTCCATAAACAAAACCCGAAACCGTAACATGTGTGGGTTAGATAGACACATGGACGATTTTACAATAGTGTACAAAAAAGCCTATTAGGTTGTACTAGTTATGCTCGTTACAGTATCCTTTTTTGTAAGATGCAGATAGAAGTAGCAATTATGTTACGATTGAAATTGTCATCCAAAATCTGGGGTTTAACAGTAACATAAGACATATGTCGGAAGATATTAAGAATATTCAAATCGATAAATTAACTTTTTTTTCATATAATACTGCTCTTTTCTTGTTTAAAGGTGACAAATGGAGGGACATGCGAACCACTCTAAGTCCTGCATTCACAGGATCCAAGATGAGACTCATGATGCCATTCATGACAGAAATAAGTGACATTTTTGTGAAATACTTGAAAGGTAACAATAATTTATAGTCGATATCTTCTAGAAGAAGAAAAAAAAATTATATGCAAAACAATTTAAGCTTAATTTTCCTTCGGAAACTTTAGTATTGCCAAAGGTATTGAAAAAGTTACTGCGACTTAAAAACAAATTGAATACGTCTAGATTATATAATCTAAGAAACAAATTGACATCGTATAGATAAGTTACAAAACTAAAAATTAAAACTAAAAGCATTACATGATCAAAAGTTATATTGTAGATCATGTAAAAGAGGACATAGATGTTTGCGATTTGATGCGTCGCTACACCAACGACGTGATCGCATCCTGCGGCTTCGGATGTCAAGTTAACTCAGTCATCGACAAAGAAAATGTATTCTACAAAACAGGACAAACTTTATGTGAAATGACAATTTTACAAAGAATGAAATTAATTTTGGCTATGGAATTTCCGAGATTAGCAAAGGTAATCATGTAGAAATAATGCTTTTTAAATTTTTTGAATTTATATGGTTAATTCCACGCCCTATCTTAGATTTTTCATATAATTTTTTTCATAACTAAAATTGAATTCGCAGTAAGCTGTAACAATCTCTTTACTATATTTCATCTCCGAAATTGAAAACAAGATACGCAGTAATTATAATTATGTCAATTTTTAGAATCTAGGCTTTAAAATTTTTGATGAAAAAGACATTAGTTTCTTTAAAAATCTCGTAAAAGACACTATAGAATATAGAGAAAAGAATAACGTTGAAAGACCAGATATGATACAACTAGTCATGCAAGCATTTAAAGGTAGGTCAAATTTCTTACTTAAGATAACATAAGAAGGATAAATAAATCATAATTTCACTTATGACATTACAGGTAAATTAATGGTTGATGAAGCAGAGATAGAAACCGACAAAATTAAACGTGGTCAAATCAGAGGTAAGGAATTTAAATAAAATATTCAAACAAATATTTATTGATACAATCTGATGATGATACAATTTCAGAATGGAGTCAACAGGATTTAGTAGGACAGGTTTTTATCTTCTTTTTTGCCGGTTTCGAATCATCAGCTTCTATCCTTAGTCTGACCATCCATGAATTGGCTGTTAATCCATTAGTCCAAGAAAAGTTATATGAAGAAATTAAAACATTTCACGAAACTGAAGGAAAATTGTCATATGAAAACATTAAGGAATTAAAATATTTGGATTGTGTTGTAAATGGTAATTACTCATAATGTTCTTAAACTCATGTGATTTTTAAGTAGTACAAAATGTTTGATTTATTTATTGTTATTAGAAACATTAAGGAAATGGACATCAGCTTTAATAATGGACAGAGTGTGCTCGAAGCCGTATGAGTTACCACCGCCTCGTGAAGGAGGTAAACCGATTAAAGTAAGTATTACCATATTACAGGTAACGTCTTCATCTAAATGACCTATGAAATTTAGCAAACTTATAGCTCAGATTTTAAATTTCTCATTAAAATTTTGAAAAACATTTCCAGCTAAACCCCGGTGATTTAGTTTACAATATGGTAAACTCAATTCATCTTGATCCAAGACATCATCCGGAACCAGAAGTTTTCAATCCAGAAAGATTTTCTGAGGAAAGTAAACACAAAATCAAGTCTTTTACGTTTACGCCATTTGGTATTGGTCCACGTACTTGTATTGGTAAGTTAATTGCAAATATAATGACAATCAAATAAGTGTTATTTTCACCGGATACATTACATCCTACACTTTTCTCTCATATCTTACTCATTTCTCCCTCTGAATCATTTTTAACTGCAATCTGAATTAATATCCTTTGGTATTCATTTTAATAGTTACATTATGTTTCAGGAACTAGATTCGCAATGTTGGAAATCAAGGTGTTAATTTATAACATTATCTTAAACTTTAAGATCTTAAAATGTGACAAGACAACAGAACCAATTCTTTGGAAACCACATGAGTTTAACGTTGCTGCTCTTGGAGGGACATGGGTAAAACTTGAAGCCAGAAAGTAGTAAATTGCTGTTTTAGAAGAAACTGAGGTTTTTTAGATGCTTCACTGAATCCATTATCATAAAAACATGATGATATAATTATAAATCATCATCATATCCCTGGCTTTATATAAGACATGTTAACAGGGTGAACAAGGTTTTAGCTTGATAAGTAAACATTTTATTATGTTCTAAATAAATAAACACAAAAAAATAAAATTATTGTTCTAATTCACTCGTAGTAACAACATTTATGGCCTGTCTCAAGATTCTTGTAAATTGTCAGATAACAATGCAACGTATAATATGAGATGGAATTATCGGATTTTGGTACTCTGACAGTGAAGTCACTTTTAAGCTATCTGAAACTCTATCTGCTAGTTTTGGGGCAAGCCCTTAGTAATCAGAATTACTTGAAGTAGGTTATGTGCTGTTAATATAAATAGGCGCTCAATAATGTAGATTGTGTTCATAGCTGACCATAGACAGTTGCATGTCAACGACTTTAAATATAATATCTTAATCGATTTATTAATTAGAACTTCATTCTTAGCACTTAATTTTAACCAATCGTGGTAAAGTAAACAAGTAATAAAATGGTCAATCTCTGACAGTCAAATGTCGGACTGCAATGGCCATTATTTGAATTGACTAACAACCGTACTGTACCTGCGTGAAATGTTGTGGTTCAAGTTACAAGAGAGTGTTTTAAGAATTATTTATTTTGAAAGCACTAACGACAATACACTCCAATTTAGGTAAAATGAACTTAAAGTAGAGACAACAAGGCTGAGACACAGAACATAATTTAGGTGCAGCAGCGCAATGTGACGTGGAATCACGCATCGGTCAAGTAATTTACAAGAACCATAACATTTATGAATTTTCGCTACCGCCTGTGAATCGGAACCCGTTATCACAACTCTAGGTGATATGAGAATTATTTATTCAACAATAGTACGACTACGCCTTAGTACGTTAGTGTTTGTCGGGAAATCAAGCGAAATGATCGTTGAAATTTTAATATTCATCTTTACTGCTATATTAGTGTATTTTATATACACTTATAAACGTGTACATAAGCATTTTGATGAAAAAGGCTTGAAGTATAATCCTGGTCTGCCAATATTTGGTAATATAATACGCAGTACGTTCTTAAGGAAACATGTCATTGAAGATATTGACAAGGTATACAGAGAATTTCCGAATGAAAAGTAAGTATTTCAATAATTTGATTGTATTGATTTAAGAAACAAAAGCGAACAAGAGTAACTTTAACTGCACAGCGAAGAAAAAAAACAATGGAATGCAATCTTACATTAAAATCGATCATGTTAGCATACAGGCGGTCATAATAAGATCATGTTGGTATTTATTGTAAAATAGCAAATGTATTTCTGATGAAACTGTTAAAGACATAACAATACTATTATACACGCAGTTATTACGTCTCTTTAGTCAATTATTTTAAATCACAAACAACGATGGCAGGAAGTCTATAGTCGCGTCATATAACAATCATGTGGTAATGACACATTTAGAGGTCGACCGGGACCCTATCGTGTCACTAAAAATAAATTGGTTACAAGTGAACGTGATCATTTTGGATCTTACAGATTAGATTCGACACATAGAAGAATTGTTTGTCATAACTCGCATCATTTTAAAAACTATAATACAAACTTGTGTAAATAGAAAAATAAATGAAAAATATTCCCTAACATTTTCTCTTTCAATGCAACAGAATAATATTCTATTAATAGCCAATAGAATAACATTGCTTAAATACGTTTTACTATCACCAGTACAACAATGATCAATTTTTAGATACGTTGGCTACATTGAAGCTACTACGCCTATCGTACTCATAAGAGATCCAGAAATTATCAAATACATCACAGTGAAGGATTTCGATCACTTTGTTAATCACAAGGATTTCTTTCCTGAAGAAATTGAACCATTGTTTGGTAGCAGTTTGTTATTGATGAAAGGTAAGATTCAATTTGTTTCATCATTTTAATCGTCATCTTCATTTTCGTCAACTTCATCATTAATATCATTTATTCATCATTATATCTCATTTGAATGCTGATTTATTACGTGCTGGAGAAATTAATGTTATTTTTAACTGACTTCTTGTTACGACTGTTGTTATTAGCAATTATAATGATAAACACTGAAGCATCTGTTATCTATATATGTATGTTCATATTCTACTGAACTCTTAACAAAACAACAATAAGATAACAGTCTTTGTTTATTTTGTATGCAAGTGGCTTGAACTTTATCTTTGCATGTTGTGTTGTGACTGGATGAAAATGAAAACAAATAAAGGAATAAAGCATGTTTTAACTATACAACGAAATATTAGTAAGATATATTGTAAAAGACGTCATTTGATAAGAAAGAAAGTGATAGAAGCAGAAGATCGTTTTTTTCTGTTAAATGCATAGTTAAGGACAAAATCAAAGAAAACAGTTATGAGACAAATATACATTGTCATATACATATATACTATATTCATGTGTTTTTTCAATTAGATGACAAATGGAGGGATATGCGGACAACATTAAGCCCCGCTTTCACTGGCTCCAAGATGCGACACATGTTGCCGTTCATGGTTGAAATCAGCAATAACATGGTCAACTATTTAAAGGGTAAGTCCACTGACAACTTATGAATATTTTTTTTTCAGACATAGTTTTAACCTGCTGCAAAAATAGGCATGATTTAATAGTTACTTTAACTAATCTACCCTCAGTTTTCACTTAAGGGCTGAGTACAGCAATAATTACAGTTATTACATGATGCACTAATTTCAGATCACACGAACAAAGACATCGACGTGTCCGATTTGATGAGAAGGTACACAAATGACGTCATCGCTTCCACTGCATTTGGTATCCAAGTGAACTCAGTACAGGACAAAGATAATGATTTCTATAAGACTGGACAATCGATGTTTAAAATGTCAGCTCAACAGAGGTTTAAATTCTTCTTAGCGAATCAGTTCCCTGCGTTTGCTAAGGTATACTTCTTACTTGATTCAACTAGTAAACTATTTAAATGCTTTATTCTTTGTGGTTTTCTACTTTTTTTTTCTGTACTGTTATTTTTTGTTTCAGTTGTTGAAATTAAAAATATTTGAAGATAAATACATGAACTTCTTCGACAATATAGTAACCACTACAATGCAACACAGAGAGAAGCACAATATAGAACGACCTGATATCATACAATTGTTAATGCAGGCCCATAAAGGTAACTTATAAAAAGAAATAAAACGATTAAATTATACAATAGGGAAATATACTAAACTATCTTTCACCCGCGACACAGTCAGAATTAAAAAAAAACAAAAGCAAGTATCTTATGTCTGTCTGTCTGTCTTCTATCTTTTACATCTTTGCCAAATTTCATCTAGATCCGTTGAGCAGTTTAGGATACAAAATCTTATATCTTACTAAACTTACCTCAAATCTTAATAGTATGAGTAAGATTTAATAATTAGATAAATTTTTTCTAGGAAATTTGAAAGCTGAGGACGTTGATTCCAAAGATGATGTCGTCATAGAAGCAGAAAGACTTAAGCATCTAAGTTCTGCTAAACGTAAGTGATTTTGTTTTGTTTCAAAAAACAATGTAACTGTTAACTCAAATACTATTGAATAAACATTTGAAATAAGTAAACTAAACTAAAGTAAATTGAAACTATATCAAGTAATTTTTTGGATGTTATTGCGTTTATTTTATTACATTGCGATGTCACGCGCTATAAAAGCGAAAACAAAACGCGATGAATTAAATAAAATAGTCTAAGGCAAATGGGATTACTATACTACTATTACACGTCCTGGAATATAAGTCGTGGGTGACGTCATTGAAGATGAAGAGCGAAATGAAGGAACTCAAAGCATCCTCATAAAAAGAGAAATCTCTTTATCGTCTCTATTTTTTACAGAATGGTCGCAAAGAGAATTAGCAAGTCAGGTGTTTCTCTTCTTCCTAGCAGGCTTCGAAACATCAGCAACCGCTTTAACAATGTGTTTCCACGAACTGGCAATTAATCCGAAAATACAAAACAGATTGTATGAAGAAATTAAATCGTTCAAAGAAAAACATGAACGAATTACATACGATAATATCAATGATATGAAATATTTGGATTGCGTTATAAATGGTAAGATTAGTAAAGCAATTATTGTTCTTACCGTGTATCGATAAACGTATGAAATATCAAGAAAGAGTTGAAGGTTTTTAAACTAACATTGCTTTGGTCTTACTTGTCTGACAACAGAATTGCTTTAGTTTGTATTAACGTTAGTTGTTTCTTACGTTACAGAGACATTACGTAGGTGGGCTCCAGCTTTGATTATGGACAGAGTTTGTACGAAGGCTTACGAGCTGCCGCCGCCTCACGAAGGAGGGAAACCTTGTAAAGTACGTACTTTATATTTTAATGAACAATATCAAAACATATATAAAACTTCTTTTAGTATATTAGCAAGAATAAGTCTTTGTGTTCAGTGTGACGAACAACTCATTAAAATTTAAAGATTTATAAGATTTAAAGATTTATTTATAAAATTACAAAATTTGGTTTAATACAATTGTGGTCGATCGCCTGTTTCCTACACTAGGCTCTAGGCCCGACTTGTAGGAGCCAGGGTTCTTCCGTCTTAGTGCTAGTTTTGTTTTTTTCATCAAACTGAATTAGTAAATAAATCAACTGAATTAGTTTATTTCTTAAAATATTCATTTACTAAAAAAAAAAAAATTCTACAAAAACTCCATCGAGTTAAGGGTTGAACTAAACGTCAACTGGAGTGATTAGTACAGAAAAATGCGATAAATTTTATACGCTATTTTTTTAAATTAATCCCTCTCCTCACCTTTGTAATATGCAGTTGAACCCCGGTGACGTAGTGTACAACGTGGTGAACTCCATACATCTGGACCCAGAGCATTATCCAGACCCTGAAGTATTCGACCCTGACAGATTTGCTGACGACAGAAAACATGAGATCAAACCATTCACATTTATGCCGTTCGGTATTGGACCACGTGTTTGTATTGGTGAGTAACACAATAATCAAAATAGCCCACAATACTATATACTATATATTATATACTATATACTATACTGAAAACATAATTAAAATTGTTTTTCTCCAACAGAACCATAATTTTACCCGAAAAATGTCCAAATCTTACATTCAGCGTTGCTGTACAATGTAGAACCAAGAATCTACACTTAGCGACGACTTAAAATACCATTAAAGGGCTCTTAAATTCTTAATTGGACTCAGTTAAAATGTTGTCTTCAATTGTACGACTGTTTCAGGTTCAAGATTCGCACTATTGGAGCTAAAAGTACTGATCTACGATGTCTTATTGAACTTCAACATATTGAAATGTGAGAAGACATCAGATCCGATAGTTTTGGAGCCTCATGACTTTAATATCAAAGCTGCGGGAGGAACGTGGATTCAGTTAGAACGAAGATGCTAATATAGTTCTTCGTGGATGAAAACGTAAATTGTATAAGTGACGTTTCTTTGATTGAATATAATCGATTTCTATGTAAGTTAAGGTTGCCTAAAATTGTAATTTTAATTTCTTTATAAATAAAGATTTGTATAACCAAAAATGCTACAATTTTTAATTGAATGGTTCCATTTAACGAAAAAGAACTAGGGTAAAAGGTCAAAAATGTATCAAAAAATATGCTGATTTGTCAGGGGAAACGCATTAAATCACTTAGGCTGTTAGCACGTAATTTGTGAGTTATTTTAATGTTAATTCATTGGCGGGCAGCGGCGATGCGACCGCGTATAAATCCGCGCCGTCGACGCTTTGTTGTGGGACCCATTATAATCCTCATGCCGGCTACAGAAATATTTTGGTGCAGCTATGAAGGGAGATTTAGGAGAATAGATATACCACAGAATACAACAGTTAGATTTCAAAAATTTTGATAAATTTAGAAATTAACTTAGTTCGCAAAAAGTTCAATGCAATTACAGATCGGTTTAAGAGACATTTGAATAGGAGGTTTTTTTCAAATATGTTTTTGGATTATAATTATGGTGAGCTAGGAGGAGGCCTGATTTAACCCTCCTTTCTATTCCATATTTTTCTTAAGTGGATAGGATGGGAAAAAAGAGTGGATTTGACGGTGGAGGAGACCTATAGCGAGGGGAAATGTCCTGTTTATGTGTGTCTCCCCTCCGTCGATTAAGGGTAAGCAACGCATCAGCAATTGCGAATACTGGTGGCCACTTGCTCGTTTGCCACCTCATAATTTAAAAACGCTATCTCGGAAGTATTAAATAAACAAAAGAAAACTTTACATTTATTAATTCTACTTCTAGTTGCGAATCTATCGCCATCTAGTGACGAATTATAAAACAAACCTCATTAGGTGAAATAATGTTTCCTTTATAAGCTATTTCCTCGTAATATAACCGAACCAATACAATTTGCTCGCGGCTTCCGTCAGCCGAGAACTTTCCGCTCGGAACGGTAGCTGGGGGCGAGATAACCGTTGACCTCATAAAATTTTATTTTACAGTTTTACAAACTTGCTTTCACGATGGAAGTACTTTGAAAAATATCTTTTTTAACTTACTCGCTTTCGCTAATGCACTCGTGTGGGAGTGAGCGTGCCGTAAGTTTTGAGAAGCCGTAAATTTTCATATTATTTTAATGCTAGAGAATTTGTTAGGGGAAAACCATGCTAAATATAGACTTTGATTATAAAGTCTTTCGCCTACCTTCGCTAGACGGAAAGAACAAGAAGATAAAAAAAAATAATACTTAATAATTGAAAAATTTAATAAAATAAGAATTAAAGTTCATTAGAGCCTAAAAACGTAGCTTTTTTCACTAATATTAAGGCTGGATTATATAACTTTTATTTATTATGGCAAAAGTTTGACGTTTGCAAAGCTTCAGAGATACATTTTTTCTAAAATATTACGTAAGTCGAAATAAAAGTACCAGTAAAAACTTCCCGCTATAAAATAAACTTTGAACATCTGTGCCCTATATTGGCAACATGCCACAGAAACAAACGCCTTACTTTAATTCTTTAAGTTTTACTCATAATTTAAAGTTATTTTTACGTGCATATGTATCACCTAAAATTACTTTGTACACTTTTCACTTATTACATCGTGTGCCGACCCTAAGGCAGTAGGATAAGGTAGGGGATAAGAAGACGATGACGTTCGACTATTACATTAACACTGTTGTAAGTTGAACTAGCTTACGCTCGCGACTCCGTCTACGTGAAATTAAAAAAAACAAAAGTGAGTAGCCTATGCGTTTTCGAAATCGATTCAGCCGTTTAGACTACAAACTAACAAGAATCCATACATTTAAACTTTCGCTTTTATAATATGAGTACGATCATATTGTACAAGGTAGTAGAACATTACAAGTTTGTTCTGTATCCATCAAGGCGCTGCCGTAGCGGTGGCTAAGTTACGAACTGAGCCGCGGTTGCCAACTTACCTTGTTACTAACATACTTCAAGACAAATTCGAGTTTTCTTCAATACCCAGACTATGTTACTGAAACTTTACCCCATAAAGTTATATAATGAATCAGAACTGTATTAAATCTTGTTCGTAATTTATGTGATGCTTTCCATGCTATTTATTTAATATAAAATTTAATGAATGTAAGGTATGCACTATAACAAACCATAACTATCGCAGAAAGGAAGTTAGTTACGAATGTGGTACACTGGTGGAGGTAGACTAAGAAATTGATGGATGGATTGCGTGAAAGGTGACATGATCAAGCAGGGAGTGAGGACTGAGATGACGGATGATAGAGTTATTTGGAGGAGGAAAACCCAGTGCGCCGACACTAGAGGAGTATGATAAGGTAGGGGAGATGATTATATAACAATCCGTCTACGTAATGTTATTCTTTTTTTTATATAACATCAGGTATATAAAAACAAACACACATATAGTAACAGATGTCGGCTGATATAAATTTAATTCCCCACACGTTCAAATGTCCACCGCATCCTGTCGGCATCTGCGTTAACAACCAACATTGCACAACGACATATAAATTGTACAAGCTGTTAGCTCTGTCAAATTGCACAGTTCTAATCAAAAAAGATGTTATCCATACTTATACTATAAAGAGGAAAATTTGTATTTATTGTATTGGAATAACTGAAAAACTACTAGATTTCGAATATTCATTTACCAATAAAAAGCTAAGTTCATTAATCACTAAATAACATAGGCTACATTTATTAAATTTATATTTTCCTATATTTTTAGCTAGTAATTAATATAGCAACTCCTTTAAAATGTACCTCCTAGATTGTAGTAAATAATATTGAATTATTAATAATGTAATATTGAAATATTGTAGTAAATAATTGAACAAAATAATTAATAATGCTGGCAACACTTTTCACTTTTGATATTAAATAAAGGTAGTATTTGTTTGGATTAGTAATACTTAATGTACACTAAGAAACTTCCTTATTAACCATTTAATGGCTCTGAGTTCATTAGTATGATATGTGCAATTCGACTATACCGATATCCAAGTTTTAATATATCATTAGCCGAGGGGATATAAATTCTTGGCACAGGATTTACTCTGTCAGCAGGCTAGTGTCGCACCTCGCCAGCATATGCTTTGCTGCATTCTGCTTTGCTTGTACATCTCGTAATTGTAGGGTACGACGCACACTCGGCTAAGTTAATGCTTAATCAAAAATTAAACCTTACTTATGATTACATTCATCTTAACTGTGTATAAAACTAACTAAAGGGTTCAAAATAATGCCTTAAGCAATTAACTGTTCGCTTGTATTGTGCATTTTAAATTTCCACTTTGGAAGTAATAACGATGTTATACTAAGCACTTCACTCAAATTTAAACAATGATTAAAGCAGTCTTAGTTTTCTAAATAACTTAATAACTTGGAGTATGACAGTTAATCTGGGTTACATAGTTTTTTTTTTTTTTTTTTTTTTGGGCGGCGCTATGCCGCCCTCTCGTTCCCCCTAACATATTTATGGGAAAGGGACGTTGGGTGCGGGTGGGAACTCTTTATTCATAAATTTTTTGTCTTTTAACATCTTACAGTTTTCTTATTGCTAATTTACAGTTTTTCTATTTTAATATCACAGTTTTGCTTTATAAAATTACTACATTACTAAATTGACTAAAAATGACTAGAATTTAAAATGACAACTACATAAAATGACTAGACTTGCAAAAATTAAAAATAACAATAATAAAATAAAATTACAATTAAATCATAATAATAAAATTAAAAATACAAGTTAAATTACAAAATAAAATTTAAAATTACAATTAAAATGACAAATAAATAAAATGACTAAAAACTGTGTAAATGACTAAACTGACTAGTATACTGTTATTTCTTATTTCTATCTATAACAACTTTGGCCAAGGACCTACAGTATTCTATAAATTCATGTTTCGTATTTCTATTACATATTAAGCATTTCAAATTTTGTTTATTAATTTTTTCCTTAAGTTTTATTTCAGTTGCCGCTCTGCGCGCTGCGAACACCGGACATTCCGTGAGTATGTGTAGCACGGTTTCATCCCGTGCTGGATCACAAACGCAGGAGGGGCTCTCCTTACACTTGAATCGGTACAAGTATTCGGAGAACCCCCCGTGAGGGTTACATAGTTTGTACGTTTTATAACTGTCTATATGTGTAACTCGAATACAATTCGGCCACAAACTGAGGCTCAGGAAACTTTTAAGAAGAGGAAACACGTCGGCCGACGTTTTCCGACAAGCGTAGATATAAATCTTATCGAGATGAACTCCAAGAGCCTCTTATGGTTTCCTTTCCTTTATTTTCAATTCCATATCCTTTTGTTACAAATATTGATTTATTGTTATTCTATTCTCGAGCACAAAGTTTCTAGAAACATCGCGAAGATAAAACAAAAACATATTACGTTAACGGAAATTCCGCGAATCAATTTTGATTTTGCTGTCATACTTTTTAGACGTCAACAGAGTAGCTTACTGTTTGCCTTTCTAAAGGTAAGTATTGATCAATATTACGTAGTTAATATTACGAGGTGTAAACTGGTACTGGAAATTACAACTATTCGATGACTAAATTAATTGTTTTACGGCTCTTACTTTCGTCTACTCTTTTCGGCGACGGCACCGACCAGTTTCAGACCCTGCGGGGGTCCTTCTTCAGGGCGAGGGTTAATGGTGTTTTGTCACGGTTGCATCGCGCCTTGCACCACGACACAACACCATTGTGAACCAACACCAGTTTGAAACTGATCGGTGCCGTCATCGAAAAAAGTAGACGTAAGTAAGAGCCGTAAAATGATTAGTTATTAGGTGACTATCTAAGGTAGTTGTTTTCAAATAGACAAAAATAATTATAAAAAACTTCTTTTAAAAACTTTCATGTTATTAAAATATTGTTTTCTAGTTAATACGCCAAGTTATTTAGGTGTTTAGTTCAGCGTAGCAGCTAATTAACAGCAGGCTGTTACGACCGCAAGCGTAAATCCTTGCCTTCAACGTATAATCAGGCATTGTTCGGTTTTCGTTTATAAATTTAATTGTGTTATATTATAAATATATACTAGCTT